GGTTTGAGGTGTCGCCTGTCTTATTCTTTTGGGGATTAGCGTTGACAGCGTGCAGGACGGCTGACTGGAGATCAGACGCGTCATAATCAGGTGCTCGTCCTAACACGAAGCCGCTTTTGATATCAGTCACCGCCGGCGACAACAACACCGCTGTCATGTTGTAGCTCGTCACTTTACAAACCACAGAGAAGCCGATCCGGGATTTCAGTGCCGGCGCAGAAACGCCAGCTTCTCGGATTATACATGGTGGGTAAAAGTCATTAAAAGGCTGCCTTATTTTTTTCTTCTCTCTCTCTCTTTCTTTTGTGCAGCGATGGGAGTTTGTCGACTAAGCAAATCCTTTTCCTTCAGAGACCCATTTTCCAGCGCAAGAGAAAAGACTTCAAGGTTCGTCTCCCATCCTTCTTCCATGCGAGCAACAGCGTCTGTCACTCGTCTCTGTTGTGCCTTTAGGGCCCATGACTCGATGTCAAAGAAGTCCCGTCAAGAGGCTGTGTTGCTAAATATGGGATGTAAAGCGAATCTAAACTCACTCACTCAGAAAAAAGGTCTAATAATAGGCAGGTAGCTGGCCTCAAACTGTACAGGAAAGAGGCATCAGCGTTGGAGGCTTTGTTGTGATTTGTCAGGTGTCGGGAGAGACGGAAAGACGGAGGCTCAGAACCGTCTGAGACGCATCCGTTTTGCTTTCAGGTGCTGAGCCTCCGGGGCCGCGGCAAGGCAAAGAAAAATCCTGCCGGAGAGGCGCTGGACGAGCACGAGAACAGGTCCCTGGTGGTCGGGGCTGAGACGGACAGGTTGGGAAACAACACGGAGGAGGAGGAGGAGGAGGAAGACGCGGGCGAGAGGAGGAGCGGGGGCGGCGGAAGCAGCAAGAGGGGGAGCCTCCGGAGGGGCCCCGAGGAAGCGGCGCTTCAAAAGAGCCTCTCCCCGCTGCTGCCCCAGCGCGGGGCCTCCGCCGAAGACCGGGAGGCCGAGGCGGAGCGGACCCCCCCGCCCGGGCGGACGGGGTTCTGCCGCAGGGAGGAGGGAGGGGGGAAGGAGGAGGTGAGGATGGAGGAGCGGGTCAGGCAGCAGCTGTTTTCAGGGGTTTGCTGACACTATGGGGGCCCAAACCTGACCGGGCAGCCAAGGAAAACAAAACAATACAAAAAAAGGGTCTCGTTAAAGTTTTGGCTCGTGGTTCCGGCTCCGTAGCCGCAGTCGGACCGGCCGCGTCCCGTTTAGACGCTGCTCTGATTCGGACAGCTTTTGGATGTCTGTGCGTGAAATTGAAAAGGCTGTGCATCATTAGCTAGAGGTAGTCTCCAGCCCAAGCCTTAAATGCTACTTTTTGTGACTCTTGTGTTTTCTTTCTATCTCGTGGCTGGACTGGGGGTGTTGGTTTCAGTGGGCTCGCTTTATTTTTATACTTAAAGGATATATAATAGGATTTTTTTTTTAAAGTGGGTGGAAAAAGCTGTAGTGTGTGGCAGTGAAGCGTACATCATCCATAGAGTTTGTCCCATTAATATTCATTTTTGTTACTTTAGCCCAATCGTTTAAGCAATCTGTGCTTTCAGAACCACAGCAGAGAGCTACTGCATCATGAAAGTTAACTTTTTTTTGTTGGTTTTATGGAGAACTTTGAGTCTTTTTTTTTCATCACATCATTAGGTAAAAGGGTTTGGAGCTCTTGTATGGTAGCCGTCTCTGTGAGTCCACAGCGTCTGACATCAAATCAATCAGGAAGTGTAGAGAGTGTCCAAATGAGTCACTTTGACATGTTTGGAGAAGGACAGACTAGAACGGTTAAATGTGCGGGATAGGACATGTCCAGATGTCCAAAGAAGACGGGAGTGGTGGAAGATCTTTCAAACTGTTCCCTCAAGAAAAAGAAAAAAAAAAACATCAAGACATCCAGCCAAGTGAGCAACACTCTCCAGGAGGCAGATCTGTGAAACAAAGGCTTCCTCACACGGTGCAGCCGGTTATGAGCTGCAACACTGGAGAAGAAAAAACCCAGAGGAAAACCAGTTCTAGTGGGCTGAAACGACAATGTCCGGGTTGTGATCATCTGAAAATGACACCTGCAAAACGCCTGGAGGTGGAAGTGTCCCTGGTGTTTGATTCGACGGAAGGAACCCCAGTGTAAGGACAAAACTCCCGGGCTGAATCTCAATCCGGGCAGACATTTTAATCCAATGTTTTTCTCACGTTTTTATCGTCTCTGACAAAGAGAAGTTCAAACGTTGAAGAGCTGTGATTCCAGGACCAGAAGCCCAATCCAGCTCCTCGTTACTCGCAGCGCTTCAACGTATTTCAGCAAAAAGCTGAAATCACAGCGTGATACCAGAAACAAAAAAAAACAACCAACAAATGTAAATAAACAGCTAGAGACTTATTGTAATAGCTTGAACTGCAGTAAAAACACAAGCACTTCACTGATGTCAAATATTTCAGGTATTTAAAACCTGAACCACAGGAGTTTTATTTAAAAAACAGGAAAAAAAAGTGCCATGTGAATATTTAAATGTTCTTTTAGTCATGTTTTCCTCAAGCTTCTCAGAGCTTTAATGGTTAGCTTTGGATTGTTGCTTTGTCCCAACCAGACATTGACAAATGAGGCGTCTGGATCTCCGTCCGGATGTGGTAGCCTAATAACTTATTAGAGGCAGACTTTATTTACATTTCTTTTCAATTTCAGGCGACCACGAAAAAGTTGTAAGTTGCATATCGGCTGTTTATTACTCATTTATTCACACCTGTGAAGTGTAAAAGTAGAGTGACATGTAGGTCTTGATATGAGGTCAATAAAGCGTTTAAAAAAAAATAAATCAAACTGCCCGAATGTTCCTTCATTTGGTGGAAATGTTCTGCTCCCGTCAAACGGTTTCCCCTCATTGGGAGAAGAAATGATGAGACGACTTTGAAATGGGTTTCAAAGAGAGGTGTCAGCCGGAGGATGTGGAAGCCAATCAGAGACCACCTGGGGGTTCCATTACAGGCCACGGTGGGGTGTTTACGCCGCCCCGGGATGAGAAAACTAACTGTTGGCACGTGGAGGTGTGGGACTGAAGATAAGCGCCGCGCTCACGAGTCACAACGTTGTTGGATCACTGAACTAACCGCTCAGGCTAATGGGGCATTATTCTGCAATTGATCGTGTAATTTACAGCAAACGCACACAGTGGACGGCTTCTGCGGTGGGATTGGACCAGCGGATACCTACCAAACTCCCATCTGCTCTGAATTTGAAGCTCCTGTCGGCAGGTTTCCTCCATTAAAATAACTAGTTTCTGGAATTGTGAGCAGAAGAACGGAGCACTGGGGTCGCAGATGGAAAGGAAACGCTGCTGCTGGATGAGGAATGGGCGGCTCCAACCGTCTACGACAGTCTAAGAAAGGCAGCGAAGATCGGGGAGTGCATCTCCTCCTCCGTTAGCATCGCGTTGTGGACATCTGCGAAATCCACAGTCCACACATCCTGATCCCGGTGACCGCCGGATGGCCTGGGCTCCTACCACCATTTCTCAAAGATGATCCTATCTGCCGGGAGGCCGAGGTCCCTGAGGGTTTGCGAAATGGCCTCTATCATCGGGGGAGGTCCGCACAAGAAACACAAAGTCCTGCTTGTGTCCACGCGGGCCTGCAGCTCCTCCGCCGTGATCCTTCCGCCTGGGGGAGGAAACGCGTTAATGTGTGGCGTCGGAAACGAGGGCGGACGCCGGCGGGGGGTTGGGCGACTGGTCATCTGGGTGGGCGCCACTTACTTTGGATGAACGGCCGGAGGTCGGGCTCCACGTCGGCGCTCTGCTGCGTGACGTGGAAGTTGCAGGAGAACTTGTCCGGGAGCTCCCTGCAGGTGTCGATGATGGAGCTCTGGAAAAAGAAACAGGCCGTTAGGCGCTGCGGGGAGTAGACTCTCGATGCATTCTGCGGGACGCCTCGGTTGGATATCCAACTCCTCCCACATCCAAGTCGGTGATTTCGATGAGGTGGAAACAAAACTTTACTGTCTCTACGAAATCGGAAGACAAACGATGTCCTAACCCTGACCCTAACCCTCCACTCTTTATAATTGTGATAAATAAATATTTTTTAGTTAAATCTGTTTGGACTTATTGTACAAACCTATTTAACATACACTATTTTAACATAATATTATGTATAGAGTTTAATTCAGTTTTTGCTAGATTAATTTCACTATTTTTAAATGAATGTCTATATTGCCATGAAGCAATTAGGATTTTCTTGCCTAGGATCTTCCTATTTATTGGTGACGTAATCAAAATGGCCGACTTGGATGTGGACAGAGTGGGTGGAGTGGTTTCCTACAGTTTGCAGGGAGCTGTACTTGGCTGCAGGAGGGTTTTAAGAATCACACACGCCTGTTTTTTAAACAACTAAGCACTTTTTTTCCCTTTTTTTTTTTTTTTTAAAGTAGAAATGTTTTCCCAGTAAATAAAAGGATGGGTCAAAATCGTAATGGGAGGTACACCTTGAAGAGCAGCTCCTGAGTGTTCTTGGCGCTGTAACAGAGGTGAGCGGAGCCTATGTGGCAGTCCGGACCCCCGGGGGCCCGGCTGGGTCGCAGCAGGTCGGCGGCGTGCAGCATGATGGAGTAGAGGGGGTTGATCCCCACGCCGCCGGCCACCAACAGCAAATCCACGGAGGGGTCGGAGGGGGCCGGGTCGAAGAAGAAGTTCCCGCCCACGCGCATGGCAACACGGGAGCCCACTTTGCACTGGAGGGGAGGCAGAAAAGAGACACCGGACAGGTGTGGAGAGAATGAGGAGCCCAGGAGAGACTGAAAACTGCAAAAAGATCAAAGTCTCACACAGGTTTTAACCACACAGGTTAGAGGTTTAACCTGCGAACCCTGAAAAAGGAGCTCAGCTGAGCTGCGCCACAAAAGATGTGAGGCCTAGGTGCAGTATTAATTATTATTATTACTAATAAGCAAAAGCATCGTTTTACAGAAGATGCTGTGTGCTTACAAAGGGAATTACGAGTGTTTTGTGTACACTCTTCAACCCAGAAGCGTGTGGAACACCTCGGCTTTGGAGATTTGCTCGCTTTGAACAAATCGATTCGATGTTAACATTGTTTTTTTCCCCCACTGTGGAAAGCACATCCAACCATCTTTGGGCTTATTGAATCCGTTTCGGTTTGTTCTCCCATTCAACACAGAACGTGCCGGAGACTTCAGGGGCGCGCTGGAGCAGGGGAACAGCACGCCGGCTGAATCGGCTGTTTGTTTAGTTCAGCGCGCCTGACTTTTCTAGAGAGTGCAAGTAAGAACTACTGAACAGGAGAACTATCCGGTGGGACCTGAGCCTGGTGATCCCTGACCGGTCTCCCGACCTGAACGGTTCATCTAGAAAGCTTATTGTCAGATTGATGATAACTGTAACATTGTGTCTACTTTTAAAGTCGCTTTGGATAAAAGCGTCTAAATGCAGAAACATAAACATAATGCTTTTGAGATAATAACTGGTTTAAGCGATTCAAAGTGTCGGTATGCCGATTTACACGTCACTGGAAAAACCAAAATGAAATATTTGTGTCACTTCAAGTGTAATTTGACTTAGTTGAGCTGCACGGGTGACTAACAGAACCGCGTCTTCCAGGATTCACAGGTTTGCTCACACCCGAATCAAATCTTTGGATAGATTTTTCCTCCATCCGATTCATCTGCCTCCATGTGCTTAACACCAACTCTGAATGTTGGACTTTCCTCCCACCGTTTCCACCTCATTTTCAAAAAGTAATGTCTGATAACCCAGCTGTCTGTTTATCGTGATATCATGCGGGAGACCGAACTCACCATGGTGTGGATCCAGTGTGCTGGAGGGTGTTTGGTGTATTTAACGGCGAGCTCAATGACCCCTTCCCTCTGCAGCAAACCCGGACTGGAGCACATGGAGAAGCCTCCCACTTTATCCACTCCAGGTATGAAGAAATCCACCCTGAAACCAGGCAAAGCCAAAAAAGCGAATCATCCAGCTGAGTCATCCTCACCCCGACTGGATGGATGGCTGTTTTAAAATAAACAGCTCCTGCGGTTCGCTGTGTGTGAGCATGGCAGCTCCTGTTACTTTGCCAAAGCTGTGAGCAAACGGCGCCCTTTGACCCCGGTGAGACGCGAGGCCACTTCCACAGAGCGAAGAGGCCAAAGCCGAACCAGACGAGGAGCTGCTCAGAAGCCGGTTTACTCGAGCTTCCACACAAAGTGGGGACGAGGAAAACCGCGGCAGTGATGGTTAACAGCTGTGCTTACGTTCCGGTAGCAGAATGGAGCCGGCGTTATGAACCAAGACACACACAAATCCGCCACCCTCAAAGAACGCAAAGATGGATCTACAGGGAAATGCACACAATATGTTGCTTCCACCCGCCCCCTTACTCCCTTTTCAATTCTTCCGGCACCGGGAGATGGAGGACCGGACTGTTCTTTTTCTAACTTGTGAATTTCCATCCATTTGCATCCATTAGCAGTCGGAGCGGGGCAAGCGGCTGCCTCAGCGCCGCCCACCAACAGTATGGCCTCCTGCGCCTGCTGCGTGTGCACGCTCCGCTAATTAACATTGGCAAGGCCGTCTGGCAGAGCGGGACTCGGGGAAAGAAACGACCTGCCCTCGCCCGGCAAATTGCTCGATGTCGAATAATTACTTCAAGAGTCAATTTCACTCAGCCTCAAAGTTTTATGCAGCAGTCAAACACTAATCCCCCCCCTTCTCTGTCCCACGGCTAAAGAAATGCTGCCAATCTCTGAGCAATCCTAAACTCACAGAGTAGTTTGTGAAGCAGTTCAACCTCTTTGATGCATTTTATTCAGATTCGTACTCCAACTGGCAGTTCAAATAAAAGCGTTAACCGAAGAGAAACATGTTCTCTGTAAGTCACGATAACAAAAAGTTAACTCTCTGAGGTAATTCTGCCATCATGTGGTGACTCTGAGCACCACAAGCATCCCTCGTGGGTGGTTTTTAAAAAAAAAAAGATACAGAAAAGCTTGACACTGAAACAAAATTTCATTTTTAATCATCGTTGCCAGCTACTGAGAGCAACAATGACCCTGGCAGGAATGTTTAAAATAAAAAAAGAGATTGAAACCTTGAAGAACTTGTCTACTTACCACTGCCCTGCTTTGAAGATAAAGTCTGGATGTACGGCTATTCTCAGTCTTTTTACCGTCTCCGACTCATTGATGATTCCACATACTTGAGCAGGGTACAGAGCCTATGTTGGGGAGAGAATTCAACACAAACACAAACCACAAAAGAGTTCAGTTTGGATTTTACACTACTCTTAAACAGTTAGCAGATGCAGTGAAACCACGTACGTTTTGTCTGTAATTGCTCGCTGTTCTTTCCAGGTGGTCCATTTGTCTTTTGGAGGACATAGGTCTGATAAAAAGCAGACAGTGAGGTCACGTGCCAGTTGTGTCAAATGTGCCGATGTGTAAAGAGTGAGGAGCTACACAAACACAAGGCTCGTCAATTACATAAGAACAAATAGAGTTTGTCCTCGCTGTCATGGGAAAACAATCTTATAATAACAGCGCAGACGCTAAAATACATACAAGATCACACTGATCCGTATTTGTATATAGTTTAATTTCCATTTGTCTCCTTTGTGGCTTTGGGTGCCTCATCAGGGTGAAACATTTAACATCCCTGTGGTCCTTTTCTGTTTTAACAAACACAATTAGAAGTAACAGGGAGCTTGTTCCAGCTCAAACTCAGCTGGAATAGAGCAGACTGGACTCACCTGGTGAGAGAAAAGGGGCCCAGAAGCGTCCTGCTCTGAGGGCTGAAGCTCCGTGTGGCAGCGGAGATCAACCAGGGGACGCTCATCGCGACCCGGGCTCCTGTCAGGACCAGAGAGCACGTGACACCGGTGACAGGAGAAAGCTCATGCGCAGTTGCCGTCACATGCTAGCGGCGCCTACAAACTTACGACAACCTTATTACTTTCCGGCTGTTTATTCAGCTGACTAGCCTCAAATGTTTAAGTGTTAATGCTCATGCCGGGTACCACCTGCTAGCATCTGCGACCCGCCGGATTTATTTTTTAAATGCGACAACGACAGGCGTAGGGTAACGACAGGCCCATCAAAAAACCCCCACATAATGTCAAAAACTCCATATGTTGTGTAATTGTTATTATTTTCAATAAAAAGTTTGGACTGACCTCCTCTGAAGTTAGCCGGCTAGCTAACACTGTACTGTACTGTAACGTTAGTTTAACTACTGTTTGTAACTAAACTCATAAACAACCCTTACGAATTGTCTTACCTATTAAAACGACACGGAATTCCTGTTAAATACTGGTCATATTTTTCTCCTGTGTAATTGTAGTAACCTTCGTCGTGTTATCATTACATGACATATATGATGAATTCTTCTTCGCTGAAGTTTTACTGTAGCTGTTGTCTTCTTCGGTGACATGGGGCCCCGAGTGTGTTGTTTGTCGCAACAGCGCCCTCTTCCTGGCGTCATAGGAACTGTAGACCGGACCAGATTACAACTTTAAAATAAAATAACCAGACAATGATCCCGAGATAGATCACAGCTTCTCAGGAAAAGTGTTTCATTAAAGTTTTTAAGAGCTTATTCTGCAGGAGTTCCACACATCAGTGTCACTAAAGCATTGACAGAATATGTTTCTTTTATGGCGATGATGAGAAGTCAAAGTATTGTGCTGGTTGGTTTCTGATAAACAGATATAAATTTAACCCCAAAAGTAATGACATTAAGTGTTTTACATGTCATGTTGCTTTGAAGAAAGTCTCATTCAACAACAGAGGTGCGTTTTTATAAATACATGAAACTGAGCTTCCATAAATTTAGGAAGCAAGCAATATTGTGTAAAAATAAATACTTTTATGACTATTTCTTCTCTACAGTTCTGAAGTTCATTCCTCTGTAAGGCTGTTGTTTTATTGTTTTGTGATGATGATAAGGTGTTTGTTGGCTAAATTAATTTTTTGCATCAAGCACAATGACATAAAGATCTCTATTTCCATCAGAGCAAGGTTATATCTCCATTAAGTTTTGAATGGATGGGTGGATCAGAGCTGAGGGAGCCCCTCAGGTATGCAAGTTATCAGCTGCTGAAGGAGAGACACCTGATACACATTCCAAGTTCAACAGTGTAAACACTCTTTCTCACTTTTGAAGAAGAAGCAACACAAAGAATCCCCTGTGCTCTGATTCCTTCTCTCTCTGCGTTTCAGTTTCTTTAGGTTTTCCCTGTTGGCAGCAACCCAGACAGAAACCATTCATGGATTCCAAAGTCAGAGAAACACGTTATGACAGCGAAACTTCTGATAAATGGGACAAATGATTTCTTCACTGGAATTGCGCAAACCATACAAAAAAACTTGGTGGCTCTTCTAACATTCAGTGTCTCACCAACGTGTACCATAACCTTTGTGGTATAGAAATGAGGCTATTCACTAATTTGCTGACTCTTTGTATTCCATTGTTACGGCATACTAAGAAATTCTTCACTAAGAAATTAAGGTACAAGAATGCTCTAAAGAGAACTTACAGATGCTTTTTTATTTTGGCTCCAGCTATTTTGCAGTAACTGTTAACTGTTTTTTTTTTCTTAAAAGCTCAGAATGAGCTGATAACTTAATCTGACTATCTGACTATACCATAGATTTTTCAAAAGTACAGTTATGGTACCTTAAGTTATCAGGTTGCTTTTTGAATCAAACAAAGTGCTGCAGTAATCAATAGAAAGAAGAAGTGCATTCATAAGAAAAAGAAATACGTTTTTTTTTTGTTATTTATGACAGTTCGGTCCAACTATCTATGGGAAAATATCACCCAAAAAGGACAGTTGGATAATTTCCACACTAATATAATATTGATACAAATAATATGAGTCTTACTATCTTAAAAGGCACATGTAAAGGCAGTCATTTGGTCCAATTATTCTAAAACAAAAAACACTTAATTTAGCACAAGTAATCTAAAATACTGAGTTTGTAGTTGTGTGTTTGCTCCTCTCTATAGTTTTCATTGTTTGTCTGTTGTAGGAACAGCACTCAGAGACAAGCATAAGCAAAGAAAAATGCTCGTAACTGTTTAGATTCCTTTCAACATTCCTGAGGGTTTCTGCCTTTGGTGTCAGCACTAACCACAGGTGACGCTGAGCTCCACTTAAGTAATTGTTCCATACATCCAAAAAGAAAACAGTACAGTCCTCAAAATAAACACAGATTAAATAGATTGAAACTCATTCTATTCATATAAAATATGATCAGCTCCACCCAAAACCTTTGAAAGCTATTTGTTTGGTGTTATTGTTATTTGTTAGAAGATTGTAAGAGTTCGAATGAGGTAACCCTGATTTCTGACCAAATAATGCAAAGTAAATGTTGTCCTCCAGTCTCATAAAAGTTTGCATAATACTTGTGAAGGCAGGTAAACCGGGTTTGTGCTTGTGTTGCAACCATTTTTAGATACAGTAGATGATCACTGCCTTCACTGGGCTTGTTCTTTTTCTAGCTGACCTTACCAGTCCAACTGGCTGCCTTCCTGCTTTCTTTCCCATAGTTAGCACACCTTTGTTCAACCTGTTGGTCAATGCCGCACTCTACCAAAAGCAAACTCCCAGGTCTATTTGTTCACAATGACTGATCCACATTTGGCACACGATGCATGAACACATCACATACTTTGAGCCGTATTCTTTCGAGACAATGTAAATATTTATAGATGCTTGAACGAGTTACGTGTGTGTTTCATTTCATCATGACCTATGATATTGGTTACATTAACCGAAATTGGGAAGCCATTTAAGTGGTAGAAATGTGTGATTGGATCAATTATTCATTAGTTTAAATGTTCTTTTTACAGGTATACATGGAAAGAAAAGTGAAGATGAGTGTTTTTCGTTTTATTTATGAAAATATAAACAAATCCAGAAATTAGATGCATGCAATACACAGAAAAATTCCTTACTGATGGATTCTACATTCAGAATGCGGGTGAGGGTGCCTGAATTGGGTATAAAAGCTAATATAGCAGACACTTTGTCTTTCCATGTAAGGATGGGTTGTGGTTCAACACTTTGTGCCAAACTCCCACGGAGAAACACAGATCAGTACAATAGATTTTAACACATATTGCCGCATTTTCCAAATGAAAACATAGAAATGTGTACTGTCCCAAAAAGTTTTGGGAGATTTAAAATCAGAATATGAGGTTTAAAATGGTTTTCCAATTATGAGGAAGTGTTTGCATACCACTTTTTACCTTTTTACCTGTCTCCTGGCTTAACGAACTAGACTTAATTAACTTAACTAACTTAATAACTAGAATTCTCCCCATTCCTCCCTTTAGAAAATTGACATTTTGAAATTGCTCATAATTCAACATATAAATGGGGAGGTTGAAAGTATCCCATGTCATACACAGAGAAAGAGACAGCAAATCTTGGACATCCTGGTCATTATTAGCAACATGCACATCAATAATTTAATATTTTAATTTTGGCATCCAGTTTAAGAGTTTCACTTAACGTATTTAATGTGTGTTTTACGCAGAGGCAAAAACTGTTGAATCTTGTGGTAGGTTATTGTAAGATTAGGCTTATATATACATAAACAGATACAGACAGAGTATTTTACACAATTCCAGGCACTTCTCCAATATCTGATGACAGGATTGTTTGGTTTTCTTCTTCAAATTCTTCAAATGCTTTTCTCTTTCAGAGGACAGTTGGACTCTCTTTCTCACGTCGTTTTCATCCTGCAGAACCCAGAATAATCAGATGTGGTTTTCTGGGGTAAAGCAGCCAAAATTCAGTGTGCAGATTTATTTCCCAACCTGCATGCGTGGATGTTTTCCCTGCTGGATTTGGTTTGCTTACAGTTAATGATCAATTTACAGTGAGACTGCTCGTGGCGCTGTGCGGTGGAGATGCGAGATAAGGAACGAGAGTTGGAGCAGCAGAGCGGAGAGATGGCTCACGATAACATCGCTGCGATACCGGTGATGGTTAGAGGAGAAGAAGGTTTCGCATGAATCCTGATGGCACAAAGTAGGACTCTGTCTTTTATTCCGTCAGTTTGGGGAATTTAGATAAAAATAGAGCTAGATTCTTCAATGTATACACTTACTTTTAAGAAATAATTCGCACCCAAGCCTATTTGTCACTTTGCTTGACAAATATAACAACTAAAAAGGGTCTTCATCTTTGTACTTTTCAGAATAAAGAGCTAATATATAATAATTAGATTGTTCATTGTTAGTCTGCTGCATTGTTATCAAAGAAATGCTGGTTTCTTCATAGCTGTTAAAAATTGGGTGAGCCATAAGTGTATTTTTGCTTACCTGTGTTAGTGTGAAGGTAGTACATAACAAACGAAGCTTTCTGTGCGAAGCACAAACAGAAAATAAGTGCGGAGTTTCGATCGGAATGGTCGATGGGAGGAGAGGGAGTCCCCTCGGTATGCAGGCCGCCGCCTGCTGAGGGGAAGAGACACCGAGACATGGCACACATTCCAGGTGGCACACCGGCAACTTTCACTCTCACTCCCTCTGTCCTGGCTCAACTCTCTGTGTCTGGGTTTCTCTGAGTATTCCCTGTTGGCAACAACCCAGACAGAAACTATTCAGGTATCCAAAGGTTGAAATAACAGCGAAAGGTTTCATGGAGGAAATGAAATCTCATTGATAAAAGGGATCAAATGGCCCATGTGAAACCTTGCATGGACACAGAATTTGTTCTGATGGTTGAATATCATCTCATCTTAAACACATTCTGATTTAATTGAAGCTTGTTGTTGGCTGAGTGGTAAAAGATATCATGGAAGCCATACATATTTCATTATTCATTATGCTAAACCACATATTACAGCTATTACAATGGCCAGGCTCATCAGTAGAAGTTTGGGTGTTGGACTGGCCTGACCTTTCACCTTCTTAAACAATTACACCATGAACAAAGAAAGAAAAAAAACAGCGCTCTTGAGAAGTTATATTTATTTAGAATGTTTTCAAAGATAATAGGATGCGACATAGTGTTGAAGTGGTGTCTCCACCATCAAGTTCACGATGAAATAATCCATCTCACAAAGTGTTTCATATGACTTCTGGGCTCCAAAATCAATAGAATGTTAGCTTCTTAAATGAGAAATAATTTAATTATTCTTTTTTTCACATTGAGTTGTGCAAATTCTAGAAAACAATTAGCAAAAAAATGGCAGTAAGGGAAATGTACTTCAATAATAACACACTGGGAACAAGCCACACTGTTGTATCAATAGTTTTTATAGTGGTAAAACCCAAGCCCTTTTTTTAAGCTGCTTTTATAATTTAATCTAATTGTTTATTTCAAAAGCAACCCAAAATATGATAACTGAGCATCAACACATGTTTGGTTTAATTTCTAACTCAGTAAGCTATGAAATACATTATGTCTTTACAGTATCTAAATGGCTCTCTCTAAATAGCTCTCTCCTTGAGACTTGAGGAAAGAGTCAGAAATGAAATAACTGCCTCCACAAAGTGACTTTGCAGTGGCAGGACGAGAAAAAAAAGCATCCGGAAGGAACTCGTGAAGTTACCTGGGAAACAGATGACACAGGAGCCGAGCCAACAATTGTTTCCTTCACTTCATGTGAACTCACAGCGGCAACAATTACACGTTTACGCAGTGATGACATTCCTGGGACGCACGAGGCGCAGGTGTCACTGAAACCCAAGCTCTTGGAAGGCATGCTTTAGGATTTCCATGCACTTTTCCAAGAAAATATCAAAGTTTGAGCTTCTATTCTTTCTAATGGCGACCAACATCCAACATATGATTTGTCAGGCTGTAATGGGTTGGGTTCAGCTGGCACAAAGGAGTGTATTTTTCTTTTATCTCTGACGGAAGAGTCGCACGCTCCCATGGGGCATGTTGCCACGCAACCGTAAATCCCACCTACCGTTGCGGAGGACTTACCTGAGCGGTGCCCACGTGACTCCGTGCACGGAATTCATCCAATGGGCAGCGAGGACAGGTGTTTCTGGATGAGAGTTTCGGAGGCGGAAACCTGCTGGTTCACTGGAGGTAAGCCGTTCCTTTATAAGTGTGTCACTTTAAACCATGTACTTCTCCAGTGCGGGAGAGGAAAAGAGGATCCTTTAGACAAAAGCAAACTTTGAAACCGACACAGAGGTTCTGTTCGGCGTGAGAAGTGAAGAGAGAAGACTCCTGGCTCGTGCGTAAAATGGATCCTCCTGGGACCCTGTGAGGGGCTGTTGTCACCACTGATCCAAGTGCTCCTGAACAGGAAGACACCAAACGCTGACATTCATATGATTACCAGCTCAGTCCAAAGCCTGACATTTACACTCGAATCGTCCTCCTATAAGCACCGTTTCTCCCTGTGTAGGTAAGTGTTCCTGAAATTGATTTCTACCCTCTTTTTTTGCGTATTGTTCACGTGTGATCCACTCTGTGACTTCAGCTTCTTAGCTTACGACTCATTAAACCAGTTTTTTTGGCTCTGGCCATTTATGGAATTACTTGAGACTGTGAGACTTTGTCTCAGTTGTGTGTAATTAAAGTCTGGAACACCATTTATCTACAATGTTAAACTCTAGGCGAAAAACTATTGAGATAAAACAAGATTTCCCTTGTATGTATACAGGAGGATGAATATAAAAAGGACAACCAGCTATTCCATGGTGTTTCATAGCAGTGTTAAACTTGATTGATTAGCTATTATGTTTGTGACAGAGTCATTTTCTCATCTTTATGTTTAAACCGATGATGAAATCGCCTCTGGGTGGAAATGACATGCAAGGCACGAGAACATCTCAGCGAGAGGTCAGACGGTCACTACGTGCGCTTCTCCTCACAGGTCCCTCCCGGCAGTCCGAAAATGACAGAGAGGGCCCCGTGGTGGAAAGCCTTCCTGCCCAGGAAAAAGAGCGGCGCCGCCAAGGACCTGGGCCCGGCCCAGGGCTTCGGCCCGGACTTTAACCCGTTCGCGCAGCAGTCGGAGAAACCCAAAGAAACCCCCCCGGCCGCCGCCTCCAAGACCCCCTGCGACCAGTCCCTGTCCCGGCAGGAGTCCGGCAAGGGCTCCAGCCTCCTCAGCGACGACACCTTCGACGACTCCAACCTGGAGTCGGTGTTCAACGAGCAGACGTGTCGCAGGAACATGAAGGTGTCGCGCTCGGGCCGGTTCAAAGAGAAGAGGAGGGTGCGCTCCACTCTTCCGTTGGAGGAGAAAGAGACAGAGAACGCCGCGCCGGGAAAAGGAGACGTGCGGTGACCTCGAGGAGGGGAAAAAGGGACTCCTTTTTTACGTGTGTACTTAGAAGAATGAGAGGGGTTTAAATAGAAAATGATGTTGCTTTTTCCGGAGGCACGCCAGTCCTACTGTACAGAATGTTGGTGATGATGAAGATAACGAGCATCCTGATAGTGTAGAGCATCATGAGGGACGAGAAACGGTTTGAATTCTATGACATTTGATGGACCCGTGCGTGAGAGTCCCAAAGAAACATGACCAGTAGTTTGTGTCTTTTTATACTAAAAGAGTCAGAAAAAAGCAGTGAGCACTTATGAAACCGTTGTCGTTTATCAAGCGGCTTTTAGTGATTGGATTGGTCATAGAATTACCATCAACTATATAAAAAAAGAACATAATATAAATACCCTCCATTTCCTCTTAATATGTTTGATGTGCTTCCAGAATAACTTTTAGATGTTTACATTTATTTTGTGCTAAGACTAATATAGGTATAATGATGAAGGACAATATTCCTCTTGTAATTCTTTGTTTTTAAAATGTTGATTCTCAAGGGTTTTGAAGGATGTGTGCAATTGTGTGAATGATATTGTTGTCTTGGGGGGGTGGAAGCAGCTTTTAGTCAGATGCTCAACTCTTGCTGGCAAAAATATAAAAAATATTATGATGAAGGATTGAATTGAAGATATGTCATGAGCAAAGCTACAGACACTGAAATACGATGATTAATACGAGTGGATAAGATGATAGAGCTCATGAGGTAGTGTTTTAGGTTTTCTTTTCAGAATTGTAGTACCTGTAATAACCTGTGAATACTCACTTGAAGGTAAATTATGAGCAATAAATCTATTATCTCCCATGTGTGAATGGGTTACTGTGCATCCATCCATCCATCCATCCATCCATCCATCCATCCATCCATCCAT